ATATTCTCAATAGATTGGTATAACTCTTATATTATATAAAAATATTGATTAAGTTTAACGTGATGATGTCCAGTAAGAGAGAGTAAACTGATAACCCCCTAATCTCAAATAAAAACAATACTTTTATAGTAAAATTTATATTTAATATATTTTTCATAAATAGTATTTTTATAATTTATTTCAAGTATAGTATTTATAATTATAAGTGTATATAACGATTCTTAAAAAATAATACTTGAATAATCTTCACATATTAAATTAGAATATATTAATTTAAAGTGACTTAAATTTTTTTATTTTTATGAAAAAATAACATTTGTTGTTGTTAATTTAAAACATATGAAATATCTTTTAATCTAATTGTACATATTACTTTTCAAGTTCTAAATATTTTTCTCTCATTTAATATATATATATATATATACCATTGTCATAAGAGCCTCCCTATAGCAAGATATACCCGGTTCTCCACCACCGGACAACTCATATATATATATATATATATATATATATATATATATATATGAGTTGTCCGGTGGTGGAGAACCGGGTATATCTTGCTATAGGGAGGCTCTTATGACAATGGTATGAACCAAGACCCTTGAGAAGTTACCTTGACACTATAGACAATAATATGGGGTGGGGAATATGGTGTTTTAGTTGCAGATTCTCCAATCGAAAACAGTAACAACTCATGAGTTTATCGAACAGTGTTATCTTTTGTGATGGAGAGGATGTATTTATAGGTGAAGTTGGCATTTAAAGAGGTGGGGTTTAGTATTTAATGTGGTGAGAGGATGGGAGGCTGGATGAGATGGTTTCGTCCGTTGGTAGAATGCGTTGTCACATATCCCAGGGATTGAGGAAAAAGTCTCTACCTCTTTAGGGGGAGAGGTGACCTGTGAGGTGGCATGTGTGAGCTGGGTTATTGGGCCTAAGCTTTTGGCTAAGACATTTGGCCGTCCAGAATAGAAGCCCCCAGCTTAATAGCTTGTACAGTTATGGTGTCAAGGTGTATTAGGTCGATTTCGAGGCGAAAAGACTAATAGACATATAAACTGGCGAATACACTTAAAGAGAGGTGGGAAAGGTGAGTGTGCAGTGATTGAGTCTTTGTAAGAGCAAATGATCGCACTCAATCGCCATTGATGGGTTCTTGCTTTGGTCGTGCAGATTTCTTATTCAATCGCCATAACCATTTTGTTGTTGGTGGTTGTTCAATCATCTTATTGTTTCTTAACTCTGCTGGGTCACGTGGATGTGTCATTTTGCGTAACTATATCATACCTTTCATAGTTGGTGTAACATCTCATTCTAGAACTGGTTTGTTAACATTACATATGATATTAAGCGCAGTTACAATTACAAAAATTGAATTATAATACAGATAAACTTTTTTTCCTTTTCACTAATAAACGTTTCTGATAAAAATTAATTTCGTAATTAAAATAATTCCAAAAAATGTAATCATAGCTTAACCTACGAGTGGAACACTTAATGTAATTTTATTTAGACCATACGTTGCTACCCCAGTGTGCCAAGTAGTCCCCTCAGACCAACAAGGCTTAAAAGCTCATTTTTATTGATATTCAACACTAAACACCTCCACTTTTTATTTACTTAAAGAATTTTATACTACTTCTATGGTCCTTATCTCCCAATATGATATAGATCTCTTCGTTAGCTGGACGTGAGTTTAAATTGCACTCAAATCGGAGCACCATAGCTCAAGTTATGAATTTTTTTAAGAAAATGATGCTAAATTTCGCAAGGTCTTGCGCTGACAGCGCCAAACCCATGCTGATAGCACCAGAATACTGAATTTTTCACGTCTCACGATGTCGTCAGCGCCAATCCACTATTTGGTGAATCCAATAGTGCCATCTTGGCGCCAAAAGCGCCACGGTTCTGGATCACACTCTATTTTAGTATTTCACCCATAACTTGGGTTATACTTATCCGATTGATGCAATCTTGATCTCGTTGGAAAGCTAAGCAAAAGATCCATAACTTCCATTAAGACACAAGGGTCAAAACCTATTATATAGGATACTAAAAATGGACAACAAGACATGTTATTTTTATATTTACATTAATTCTCAACCTAAATGTCTTCTTTCACCTAATTAGCATTGTACAACTACTACAAGACATAATCCTTACAATTTTAAGACACGCATTTTCCATAATAGGTATCCATGCCCTTCAATCATATTTACCATAAGTACAACATTACACAATATCCAAGTGCCTTTAATACATAACCATGAGATTTAGCTACAAAACACTATGATCAAATCCTTGGCCCCCATCAACAACAAGAGACACCAAAGGAGATGAGAATATGCTAAGTCCACCAAAATAAAGCATGATGTTCATATATCAAATGGCTTTTAAATATAAATCCTAAACATAGGAACTACTAAATGACATGCATAATCAAAATAATGCAACATCCTCATGTATCAATCTAGTTCAAGTATGGTCGCTTGCCACCAGAGGCTCCTCCAGCATTTGTACCTGAAAGGGGATTCCCACAACACGAGATGAGATATACATATATATCTCAGTAAACCAAGGGTCCTTGGAGGATGTCTCCACCCCAAAGTTCACTTGGCATAAAAGCATGACATTATGACAATAAAGCATATAAATATATAACAATGTAATGTGTGCAACAATGAATCTACTGGCCAAAGATCTACAACGTATGCATTACGTAAGGAAGCAACCGTCTTGCAACATACCATGCATAAGGAAACAATCGTCTTATGCCTCACACAAGGAAACAATCGTCTCGTGTGGCACACAAAACAATATACACAAAATGCTATACTCACAATTCATGCAATCTACATATACCACAAAACCACAATCCACTCGGGACTTGATGGAACAACAAAGGGATAAATTCCAAGGTCTGAAAGCTTACCTTGTAACGCTTCCTACCCAATGCTTGGTCCAAGCACCAAGGTTTCATAACCACTAAGCAATAATCAATAACTTACCAAATAATCACCTACTTGACAAGATACAATTGCAACCATGTAAATATTAACAATATTCACAACCAACACAAGGAACTCTATACATCACTCATATGGTCATGAACTCACCTTCACTTGAAATAACTCAAGTGCCAATATCAAGCTCCATTGGCTCCTCCAATGCTTGATCAATCAAGATAGGTCTACTTGCCTCCAACTTGGAAGAACCATGAACACAATCAATACCAACAATCTAAGTCACATCACTTGAAATGCAAGAATTCACTCTATCTAGACCTAATTTTTGAAATTTGATGAAGATGGGTAAAATGATCTTCCAAATACTTTTTTACCACTAAAATCATCATCTAAACATTTTTCCCAACTTGGCCTAAGCCTCAATCAAGCTTTAACTATCTCATTCAAAGACCCATTTTCATAAAAAAACCTAGAAATTAATCTTCCACAAAACTCAAAGGAAATTACGATTTCTTAACACCAACTCACCTAGAATCACCTAAGGAAGACCTTCCAAGTCTCACTTCAAGCAATGGACCGCTCCAAGACATGCAATCTACAATGGGTCACCACTTTTCCTTCCATTTTTCTCTCTACACACATACTTTCAAGGATATTTGAAATAAGGGTTATGTTTGTAGGGAGATTCTAAGCAACTTTGATCCAAGAACCAAATGATTTGGTTGAGAAATAGAGAAGTTGAAAATCAAGCTTTTCAACAATGGCTTCTTGTTCTTGTAGAAGAGAAGAAGATATAGAAGAGAGAGAGAGTCGAGAAAATGAGAGAAATAAGGAAGGAAAAGAGATTAAGTGAGTTTTATCACCTCATTGGGTATAAACTTATCTATCTACTTACTTCTATTCTTTTTCAAATTTTACTTATTGGTCTGAAATATTTCTACCATCATATTTTGACTACATCCATCTTTACCCCAAAACACTCACTTAGACTCACATTGATTGAACTAAGTATTCTCATTTATTTTATCTACAACTTGATTAATATTTAATCCAATAATGCATGATTAAATCTTTAATAATAAATACCACTCCACATTGATTGAACTAAGTACTCTTACTTATTTTATCTACAATGTGCTTAGTTAATATTTAATCTAACCTTTATATAAAGCCTCTCACTTAATTAATTTAATTATATATGATTAAATACTTAACTTAATGCAATTTAACATTTAATTTAGGTTAAAGTTATTATAGTTGGTCGTAGGTTTGGTTCTAATGGGGGTTCCCTCTTTTAACAGCTTTTCTCTTCTTCAATGTGGCGGTCATGCTTCATCTTCTCTGTGATTAATGCGACACGACGAGGCACATTTAATTCGTCGAGCGAGTGCATCTAATGTGGCGGGATGGGGTATCTTTAGGGGGCGTTTGGTACGCGAGATTTTGAGAGATTCTCGGGAAATTGAATTTTTCTAAATTTTAAATTTTAAGATATTATCGTAAACTGAATACAAAATTTATATTTTTGAAAATCAAGATTCTCGGACAAATAAAATTTTTTCTTGTACTAAACGCCCCTTAGGGGGTGTTTGGTTGGAGGATTTTGACGAGATAGATGGGGAAATTAGAAGTGGGATTGTAAGGCAACCACGTTTGGTTGAACCGCTTCCAAACTTGGCTGGGTAAATTCGAATGATAGGTGAGCCATTTACATATGTATCCAGATCGATTTAGCCGGCCAAATAATCCCACTTCAGATGTGGTATTACATCTTTGCTATCCATTTGCTCACATTGTCTTTCTTGCAGATGACCAAGGTACCCTCTACTAAGCGTGCGAAACTGAAAAATGTCGTACCAAATTGCAGAGTTGTTAGTTGTCACTTTCGGCCATAGACTTGCACAGACGAACACAGATTCATGAAGGTTGGCTACTTTGGGAGGTTTCTCGATGGAACAAAGTTTATTTTTGTCTGTGTTTTTGTGTTTTGTCCACACAAAGTTTATATTTTAATTATTAGTGACCATGAGAACGATGTCAGAGGAAGAAGCACCTTTGGAGGCTAAAAATTCAAACTTGGGCAAAACCCTTTTGTTGGGGTCGCATGCAAGTAGCTCAGGTACCCTACCAATGATGTTGTGTATTTGGAGATGGAGAAATCGTGGTGTGTGAAGAAGGCGATGACTGAATCGAGCTTCAGGGATGTGTCGAAACGAACGCGCTTGTATTGAAATTTTTTAAAGGTTTCTATCTCAAATTTTATGTTTAGATTATCCTTTTGCAGAAATATTTGCAAACTTTTGAAATTGTTCTTGTCTTTCGAATTAGGAATTTAGTTGTATTTGTTCTAGTATTGTACACACAATAATAAATACTTAATTGGTTCAATTCCTTAAAGGGTTATACAAAGTAGATTGATGCCCATTGTTGTTATTGGTAGCCCCTGTTTTGTCAAAGCTTGGTCTATGAAGTTTGAGAACCTTTAAATTTGCTTGATGGCACATTTTCTTAAAGATGTTGATTGGAATTAACTTCTGCCAATTAATTTTGCAAAAGCTTCATATCATGGTTCTTTTCTCTCCATGTCTATAGAATTATGCGTGCTTCATGCCATTTCAGTTGCTATTCCTTTTTGTGATACATGAATTATATTTTCTGTAAGTGTGGACATGGAAAGTAACATCCTATAATGTGGTTGGCCATCTTGTATTTATGATAGAGAGTTAAGCTTTGGTTATACCCAAAATTCATAAGCATGCAGACAGACTTAGTATTTGCAAACTGAGAGTTTCTTTTCAGTTTTTACTTACATTGTTGTAGTTTCTGAAAAGTCCATTGCTTCTTGTCTCGCTATCCTGTTATAGCCTTTTGCTAGCCTTCAGGCATAGTATGAAGCAATAAAATGTTTGGTAGGCAAAAGTATTAGCATTCAGAAGTAGTGAGCATATGTTTGATCAACTGAACAAGAATCTTACAATTTCATTTATTTCATACATAAATCGATCACACTCGTTGAGTTCTAAGGTTTCAAGAATATTTTGAACTTTAGATTAGGGTGGAAATGTTATAATTGTAACTTCTATTCATTCCATAATTTGAGATGTTATGTCAAATTTTAGGAGGTAAAATTCTTGCTTATTGAGAAACTTTACTTCCACCATCATCTTTGAAGTGCTTCTCATATGTAATTCTTTCATAATCACACGCAATATATGCAATTTAGTATCTTTGAAAACTACTTATCTTTCTATCAGATGATTAATCTGAGTAAAATCAAGATTATCTTCCTGTTGGAATGTGTACATAAATTTCTCTGGTTAATGTTTTCCAGGAAAGGTGTATCGCGATATAGTTGGAAGTGCTTATTATGTTGCTCCAGAAGTTCTACACTGCAGATGTGGAAAGGAAATAGATATATGGAGTGCAGGAGTTATATTGTATATCTTACTTAGTGGTGTCCCTCCATTTTGGGCTGGTAAACTGTCACTTTGATTTTCATCATAAAATGACTAACAACTTGTACTCAAAATTCAAAACATACATTTTTTTTTCACTCTCTCTGACTATGGATCCATTACTACAATTAGAAAAGGCTAATTTTAAACCATAGCTTCATAAATTGTAGGTTATGGATATTATCATTCCCAATCTATGCAACTTTATGATGTAGTTTTATCTAGATCTCCCAATTCAAAAACTCAATGGATTTTGAATGTTGTTTTAGGTCATTGTTGAGAATATGTCTACCGAAGAGATCCAAGGTTTGAAGGCAATGTTTACAAATATGGACACTGACAAAAGTGGTACAATCACCTATGAAGAACTAAAGGCAAGATTGCAAAGACTTGGCTCAAAGCTTATAGAGGCTGAAATGAAACAGCTTATGGAAGCTGTAAGCTGTTCTTAACTCTTGTTCTCTTTTTTTTCTTTTGTTTATAATTTTAAAGTTTTCCTAACTTAAATTCCTTGGCCTAAATTGCAGGCTGATGTAGATGGAAATGACTCAATTGACTACATAGAATTCATCACTGCTACAATGCATAGGCACAAGTTGGAAAAAGATGACCAGCTTTTCAAGGCCTTCCAATAACTTGATGCACAGTGTTAATATATTATGCTTGGTTCCTTTTATTTAAGATGATGTTTGTAGTAACATAGGTATCAGGATAAATTGTTAAAAAATAAGTCAGTGTCTATCTGTTTTTTGATTTGGTAATGTATTGTTACTCAATGTAAAAGACAGTCACAGCACCAGATGCTATACTCTATACCATTTATTTTAATTCACCTTTTCATTGTCTCTCAGAATATATATTCAGTAAGTTTGCTAAAGGAAGAATATGGCAACTTGAAATAGGTTCATTCATCAATTACTTGGCTTGGATAACAGTAAAAAAGAGTAATGGTGTATACTTTACAATAATGTCACCATTTATTTCCAAAACAGTTATGATTCCTGCAGAGTTACAAATTGGTTGCCAATCTGCTGATTAAATAAGAGTTACTTTTCCTCTTTTAATACAAACAACAAAGAGCATGTAAAGGGCCATTAATTTCAATAAAGCATAATATATTATTCTTAGGTCCTGTTGCTGTCTGAATTGCTTCAACAAGCTCCTCTTCACATGTATCCTGTGTCAATGTCATAATGTAATTGAGAGCAAATTTGCAAGCCAAGCATCAAGAACTAATCCAAGCAAAGAACTCGTCTCACTGTCCGCTCCTTTCCAAGAATCATGTTCATTACCAAATATGCTTTTTTAAGTTATGTTTTACAGACAAAGGAAAATGCTCAAACCAACGTTGTTTCCTGTACCAACCATTCCCAACTTACCAGATAAGAGAGTATTTTAAATAAGAACGAAGTAAGGAATAGAGAATGAGAAAGTGAAAGCAAAAGTATGAGACCTCATGCCATAAGACGGTAAAAAACCAACTTATTTCTAAATTGAGCAGTGACAATAATCACTAATATGAAGTCATGAAGAAGAAGAAACATGTATATTCAAAGTATAACTAACTGGAAAATAATAAATCCTCCAAAACAGAAAAGATAAAAAGATACTAAAATGTATAGAGCAAGACGCTTCCAAATCTCTATGCAAATCCAAGATAGCAACGCTTGAAGCAACAATGAGCAGCATTGTTTTAAAATCAGGGTTATTTTTGTAATACTAACTTGTTTTCCCATCTATATTTTATCTTCAACCAATTGATTTCATAAGAGTTACCTAATTTCTCCAGTAAAGTTTTTCCGCACCAAACAACTTTTTTTTACATTTTCCTACCTATCTCACTTTCCAACCATTTTCCTATCAATTACATTTCCCTAGTATTCAAAAAATTTCTCCTCAACCAAACGGCCCCTTGGGTATTCTTTTTGTGGAAAGACATGATTGCCTTCTATCTGCACCCTTGATTTCAAAAAACTGCCCTAGATCAAACATCCTTATTTGTTCAGTAATCTTTTTAAGAAGGTTGTCTTCCCTCTCTTTCTCTTTCGTTTTATCCGGTATCTTTATTCCTTCTAATTCCATTGCCCACCATATAGAGCACCTCATAACCAAATTCCAGCCTTCAATACAGTTTCAATCAGTGAATTAAAGAGAAAGGAAAAAAGCATGTAAAACAAATGAAGCACAAAACATTGAATAATTAATTAATAGGGAAGAAAGAAAAGAAAAAGTGAATAAGAAGGTTTACAAGGCTAAACGAGAAACCTGGAGAGGCAATGAAGTCTATGATGGCATGAGAAGTAGGAGGTGGATTGTTGGACATGTCCGCACCCATTGGAAACTTTGTTGATGAATGGCTGTTTTTTAAGGAATAAAAATGGTTGTGTCATCTGTGTACATAAATGAGAGAAAACAGAAAGGGAAGTTAAGAATATAAAAACAAAGGAGGGAACCCGCTAAGGATTTTTTAAATATTTTTATTTTGTTTTTATTTTTTATTTTGTTGCTTGCGTAAGATGTGAAGGGCTGGTAGGATTGACTGATAGATCGTGGAATGAGAAAAAGAGTCAGAACAAAACTAACATTGAGTTGTTGAATTTATGGCTCCAACTGTTTATTTCAGGGTATCTTAAATCTATTCAGTGTAATAATTTTAAGCGCTGGATTGGAAAGGATTATAAGAATATAAGAACTCAATTAAGATAGCAATTACCAAGCTTGGCTCACAATCGGGATCGGGGCCTATTTCTTTTGGTGTAAAAGTTTTATTTATTTATTTAACCTGTGACTGAGATTTGGCGCTGTTAAGCTGCTAAGGACTTGTTTGGTGGACATGATAGGATATGATATGAGACTGATAAGGACAAGATATGATATGGGGCTGATAAGCCTATATCATGTCCTGTGTTTGATGAACACTTGATTAGAAATCTGATAAGATTACGTAGAAGGAGAAAGGAGAAAAAAAAAAAAATATAATGCAATAAATACAAATATATTGGATAGCGTGATGATATATTGGGTATTCAATATTGATATCCTATCCTGTTGAATTCTAACCCAGCTCCCCCCATAGGATAAGAAATCATGTATTGGATAGGATAAAATGAGACAATAGGATAAGCTAATCATATTCTATTGACCCACCAAACAAGAAATAAAGGTAGGATATGATAAATTATCATATCCTATCTTCTTTATCAGGTGCTTCAAACAGGTCCTAAGACTGAACAGTTTCAGTGAAGAGGAAGTCCTAACCGCGTTTGTTAAAAACAGTGGGATTCTTGGTAATATTTTTGGAACTAAAACGTGGTGTTGGGGTATGAAAAATAGAGTACCAAAATAATGGGATGATCGGTAATAAATTTTTGTGCTTAAAATCATCAAATAAACTGTGGGGTGTATTTTGGCACTTCATTTAAAAAGAGAATATTGTTTCAATAAGTTATAGGTTGGGTAACAAAATTTATGTACTCATCAAATATATGTACTCTTTTTTATTCGATATGTAAATTTTTTTATTTAGTTTGTAACTTGTATTGGTTAGTTTCTAATTAAAAAGAATATATATTACGTTATTTTGTTTTTGAAATAGAATAATGTAATGTGAATTTGTAAAATTGATATTCTTTGAAAAAATGTATTATATTCTCATTTTAAAGAGAGTGCTTAAGGGGCGGAGTCAGAGGAGTCCTACGGTGGGCGACCACCCCCCAAAAAAGTTGAAGAAAAAACTTTCACTTAGGTAGTATTTGGTTTAGGAGAAAAAAAATTTTACTGGAAAAATGTGATTGATAGGAAAAACGAAGGAAAGTAAGTTTGGTAGGAAAGTTAAAAAAAAGCTGTTTGGTACCGCAAAATATTAATGGAAAAATTGGATTAAAAATCCTGATGTATGTTTGGTTGAAAATAAAAGATTGATGGGAAAAAAAGTTAAAATTACGAAAGTAACCCTTTTTAAAAAAAACTTGACGATGGTACCACCAACTGGACCTGCCCCCCTATACAAAAAGTTGAAATTTCTGGCAGGGTCCTCTGTTCTTGAATTTCGTGACCAGTCTCTATGGTCTTTGCCTTTGTCATATGAATAAATAACCATGAGGGAATAGCTGAATATGGCTGTAATGATACAGAGATCAAGTTGATCTTCATGAGTTGAACAGTTAGACATCCAAGGAAGAAATTGAGGAGATCTGTTTCAAACCCAAGGTTAATCTGTTTTGACAGGCACAAAGACATTAAAGCAAAGGCTGCACTCGAAATCATACTTAATAGCTCTGGTTTTCCATTCACAGCTTTATCAATTTCAAACGAGTACAAAGAGGTGAGCAACAAAACCAGAACACCCACATGAGCTTTCTGTAAGAAACTCCTCGAAAGTTTCCATTTCTTCAAAAATAACATCATGCTACTGATTATGAAACTTACTACTATGTAAATGATGATCTTGAGGAAGTTCCACTCTCCAAATAGATATTTGAAAGAGGATCTCAATGCATAGCAGAGCAGTCCAACGATGCTTGACATAAATCCCACAACTCTCCATAGCTTTTTCTGATTTAAACGATTGGAAATTCCGTTGAGCATAGTACTTACTTCACCAAAATACCGTACTCTCCAGCTGGATTATCTTCCTCGCAAGTGATAAAGGAGGGGTAAACTTGTCTCCTTTTTCATCCCTTTTTTCATTTATCCGGTTTTCACCAAAATACCATGGTGGGAGAAGGCTTCTTCAACAGTAAATTCTTCCATTTTTACACGCTTATGTGAATAGCTGGGCAACCAAGTTGGATGGATAAAATTCAGATTATCCTTCAACCAAACGTGGAGAACTGGAAACCCACATGCACTTGCCTAGGATAATTTTCAGATCCCCTGAACCAAACACTACCTTAGAGAAAATCATGTCGGAGAATCGCAGTTCTGGGGGCCAGCGAGCTTCTGGTTCATCAGTTCGGGAAGCTAACTACAATGTTATTTGGATATTTGTTATACTCGAATTGTTTAATTGTTTTAAAATATATTTTTATGCTTACAATAAATTTAATATTAATTTAATTAATAATTTATTATCTTGAAATTACTAACGAGCTGATTGTTTGAGATTTTAGAATAATATTTATTCTGATATAAAATAATATTCAAGATAATTGAAGATTGCATGAAGAAATGAGAAGATGTGGAAGATATTATGAAAAGAGAGAAAAACATGGAATCAAGTAAAGTTTAGGATATATTTTATCCTTTTAGATTTCATGTAAGAGAAATAAAATATTCTTTGTGAAAGGTTTTAACTAGGACTGCATTGCATAATAGGATAAAATATTTAATGCTTTAATTTTTTTTATTTTAAAAAATCATAAATCTTATTTTTGAAAATTGCATTTAAAACTTCGTTTAAGAGTAAAAGATTTTTGGTTAGTTTTTGAAAAAGATTTTAAATTTTGGGCCTTTAGGAGAGGGAAAATGTTATTATTATAAATAGGGCTTATTGCATATTATTCATGAGAGAATAATATACAAAGAGAGAAAAGAGATAATTAAATTTTCAAGATTACGATTCTTTCTTGTGCATCAATTAGAAAGTTTTCTCAAGAACATTCATTTATACATTCATCTTTTGGCAAAGTGAATA